GGGTGAAATTCATTGGCTCCTTTCTCTCCTCCTTGTAGATTGGAGTCACATTTCCTAACCTACAGTAAACTGAGACCTCCCCAGATAGCCAAAACGCCAGAAAAATTATTAATAGTGGCTTGGTGAACACTTTCTCCAATTCCTTCAGTACCCTCACATAAATCCTGTCCATCTTCACGGACTTATTCAAATGACACAGTAGGTCACGTGCAGTTTCCCATTGATTATCAGTTCTTCATCTTGTTTTCTGTTACCATCTTCCAACTTCCTGAGTTGGAAGATATTGATATTTTATTGCTCTTAAAACAGTCTTTTAAGAACAGGCATTCACTACTTATCACCTCCAAAACAATTGATTACATCAATATAGCAAAAATTTAGCTTTTATCATTCTTAATGTAAATTCTTTAGTATACAAAATAAACATTTCTCAGTTCTCCTATTATCTGTAATTTTAGTGTTTTCATTTTATAAAATTGTTCTTAAGAGTGTTTTTATTGCATTAAATGTCATATGTTACAATAATTTTCAGTTGATTTTAACTTTCGTATGCATAAACTCATTGCAGTAAATTATCTGTCAGCGCTTCTACATTTGCATTTGAACTTGTTAATAAGTAGCTCAATGAACATGCAAATGCTTACCATATTATTTATATTTACAGTAAACAAATTATCTCTATTTGAATTCTGGTCTTTCACTTGAATTGTATTCATCTGTGTAGGAAAGGTCATTCACTATTCTTGAATAAATAACTGACAGCAGACTTCAGTCTTTACAAGAATTTTTTGCCACATCTGAAAATAATTCAATAACTTAATTGATTCTTGATCAAATATAGCACAGAGATACCTTCTTTGCAAAAAAATACAGAAATATCAATAACTTATGGAATCACATTCACAAAATCAAAATGTTCATAAGAGAGAAAGATTTATGAGTACTAACATTATTGGCTAGTTCTGTGCAAAATATAGATGGAGTAAAATCTGCAACTGCTCTGAAAAACCGTTAGTGGATGTCCATCAAAAGTAATCTCTCACATTTGGTGCTTAACAAAATGTAGGTAGGCAGATGAATTTTGTAGCTATGTGGATATTCAAATCTCCGCTGAGGGGGCTTACTGTCCAGTTAACATAGCATACAGTACTCAACATTCATAGAGACCTGAAATAAATGTTTGTTCTGAATTACATAGAAAATCTTTATAATTTCTTAGCTAGAGCTACTGCTGAAATAGCACTTCTGACAAATGTCACAATCTTATATTTGAGACCCAGCTCAAATCATCCTCACGTCACTAGAAACACCAGGAAAAGAAAAATCTGCTTATCCAACTCTGAAGAATCACCAAGCTACCAAGAAGAGAAGATCCATCCTTGTAAGCCACAAACTATTGCATAAGTAGCATTACCTTAAGATCACCAGTCAGATTAACTCTATGTTTTGATGTTCACTTTTGTAAGATTCGTGTTTGAAAAGCAAGAAAAAAAAAGGGTCTGTTACACTATTCATATTGAAAAAATATTACTTATTAACTAAAGTCACATCATTTTATATTACTGGTTTCTGCAATAACATAGGCCATATACTTCTTTATATTGATGTTTATTGTCAGTTTTATTTGCTGCTTTATGAGTACAGCTTCAAATACTAGGTACATTCCTATGTTTTTCAACACCGTTTTTATGTGATGGTGCATTTGCAGAAACAATTCCTATTCCAAAAATGGGGATTCATTCTATTTGATGCATGTCAGTCAGATGTGACTGAAGAAGGCTCTAATGACAGGTAATACTTCATGTGATGATGTGCATTTCTTATAAACACAGCACACATTGCCTATGCATTACATACTGTCAAAAGTACAAAATGAAATCTTCTAGACTTGTCAGTGCAGAATGAAATAAAATTCCTCAGTGATGGCAGCTCAAATACTCTATTTAAGTAGTAAGCACTACTAAGTTTTTGGAGCTATTCAGCCACATTTGTTTGCAATATCAAGCAGAAATCAAGAAACTTTGAAGCCACTAGTTAGCTTCACAGTCACATACACAAAGGAAGATGAAACCAGAAGGCCTAATCAGAAAAGCCATATGGGTAGTAAATAGCTAAGTATCCTCCAGCATTCTGGCTGTAGCATTTCCATCTTCACTGATCAGTAACTATTCTCCATATACAGCAGTAGTTAAGAATTGGCAACTAGAACTGCATTTATAAGTGCCTCACAGTTCTTCATTATGCAGCTAATGAATCAAGTGAGAATCGAGAACTTTGAGAATACAATCCTAAATACTTGATTTGATCTTCAGAAAATATTGGCCAATGTTATATAACCACACTACACTTGAACAAGAGAGAATTATTGCCCTGAGTAGATAATAAGCTTTGACAAAAGATACAGCTTTTTTCCCCGCTCCACAAGAAATCTTTCAGCAGTATTTAGTTATTGAGACTATATTTACTACCTTAATTTGCTGTGCTTTGAAAATTATATCTGCAGCAGCACTATAATAAAGCACAGATTTTAGTCATTAATTTTATGAAATGAGTAAACAATGGTTACAGCTGAACATCAAGAATTTAAGAGAAAGTTGTTTGAGCAAATGACGTTTTGCAGTTCCTACTCATTTAAGCCATTAGCTTCCCCAGTAATAACTATCAGTTGCATTCATCAGTCCACAAAGGTTATCTGAACACTGTCTTACATTAACACATTCCAATAGTCAATGAAAACCAAACATTACCTTCTTAAATCTTTATCCTATTTAGAGGTAATGGGCATTCTAATTGGGATTCAATGAAAGAAGAGTTGGTATCTGAGTAATCTTTGGCTGTATTTTCCCTTTTTTCAGCATAGCATACTTGCTCTGCACAATGGATAACAAAAATATCTGACATATCTAAGTGATAAAGTGCCCTCTGTTAGCTACAACTCCCTTCCCTCTTTTAAATGTGAGAGGGAAATCCTTTCACCTTTATAGTAATGACAATTAAATGCGTAATATGGTGAAAGCAACCTTCTCAGCATTTACCACCTGTATTATTTACTATTCAAAAGCCAAGTAGGTACCACTGAAATATTACAGTAGATTATAAAACTGCAATTATTGGAACACATTAAGTTTCCTTATGGCAACCTCGTTTACTTACAATATGAAGGTATTTTACTTACCTCAAAGGCTACTTTTATAGTTTAACTTTTTATGTTGCTGTTTATTCTGATAAACTACTTGGGTTAGACGCCACAATGGTTTTGCAGGTGTTGACAAAAGATGACACACAGCATGACCACTATTCTACCACATAAATAGGATAGATCTCAAAAATGCAATGAAATGGGAACTGGAAAAAATGGGTTGTTAATTCGTTTTCATCTTTAGTTTAAACTTAATTCGGAAAGTCTCCATCAAGAAGAACACAAATCTTAAAAAAAAAAAAAAAAAAACTAAAAAAACCTTAATCATCTGTCAATAATGCCCATTAAATAAGATACAACCTAAACAACTTTCTTCCACAGAAAATAGAATCTCCAGCCTAAGCAGAAACAGATAGGTTGTTTATCAAGTATGTTGCCCTGTACTTGTTTTCAGTCCAAGCTGAATAATACATCTTTGTATCTAAAACTGAAGATTTCTATCTTATACACCTTTCTGTCCTTTATGTTCTAGCATCCTCACTTTCTGTCTGATTCATTCACTGTCCAAGAAATCAAATCTCTGGAATAGATGACAGCACAGTGTGTCTCATCCCTTACTATGTACTCAAACAACTATCTCATCAGCAGTCTCAATATTCCTGATAATGTAACAACACATACCACCACGATCCAGATGGCATGTCTTATACATACCTATATTCCAAATGTAAGGGTAGTTTGCTTTTTTGGTTGTGGCCTTGTGTTAATCTGATACACTTGATATGCAGAGATATTTATTACACCTAGCTTTCCTCAATTGGCATTTTAATAGTCACAAATCATAAAGATTAGAAAATTCTGTTTAAGCATGACTTCTACCTTAGATTTAACAATATTCACTTTGAATAGCTCATCTAGTGAAATTAATAATTTCTCCTCTTTCCACAGATTACCTGTTTGTAGTTATGCATTAGTAAGTTCCATATGACAGTTTAGTATCCTAGATAATCTGGGAAGCAAGCAGCAGACACTTTTACATCTCCTCAAGCTTGGGTCACTCTCAGAAACATTGAATTAAGTTGATCTTTGATTTAATCCAGCACAAGTAGTCCTATAGTCAATTTTAAGTTTTACATAGCCTGTGCAGCTAATGCCTTTTCATAACAAGCAAGCCACCCCCTCCCACACACTTTATCTTCTTCAAGGATAAAAATCTCAATCTGCACCACATCAAAAGAAAGGTGGGGGGAGAGGGGCAGGGCAGGAGAATATAGTCGTTACTTTCCTTAAAGCCACTTTGCAGTTAAAATATTCCAGAGTATCCCTGTAATTGCTTTTACTGTTAACATTATATTCCCCTTCTCATACTCCTTTGTATTTAAATCTCCTTTGAAACCCTTCTGTACCTGTTATGGGCTGTGAAACTGTACCAGATAATCCACATAAGGTAATTCAATTTGTTTTGCATATCTAAGAGTATGGTCAGGAGACTGAAGTCAGAGGGTGATACTCTTTTAAAGTGTGAAATATAAAAGCAGAAGATTAATCAGTGCTGTGACACGAGTCCTGATGAACATCCATTAGTAAAATTGGCAGACACTTCAGAAATATCATTTTCAGCCTAAACTGAGCACAGCAGAAAACACAAAGAATGCGAAGAGTCTATGAGGCTGTCATTTAAGGGTTCTGCATGCTATATCTCACTACACTAAATCATCACAAAACCAAAATGATATGAATTTGCTTTACACTGGCTCTTGCAGGTACCCACATCATGTAGGAACAGAAACTCAAGTTCTGTAGCTTTTTTCAGAAGGCAACATTTGAATATTTTTCTACAGTTTTTTAAAAATACACATACCTAGATACTGTAGACAGTGGAGCAATCAGTACCCTCACATGGATTTTCCTAATGAGCGAGATAAGGCAGTGAAATTACCCAATGGCATAGATAATCTTCACAATGGAGCCACAAATTCCGGTGATCTGCAACAAGTCCAAATGCACATACTTACTGAAATCAGTGTCATTCATCACAGCAACACATCAGTCTCATTCATGTAAAAGAAAAAAAAAAAAGTATCTTTACATCTTCCTGGAAAAGACAACAATGCAAAGCAGTTCTCTTCTGATGTAAAGCATTGTTCAGTATACTTTGTAGAAGGCTAAAATACCTTTCTAGTCTGCATTTTTGTACACAGTAAATAGGGAATTTTCCTGACCTGTGTATAAATAGGCTGTTATTATAGGTAAGAGGCTGTCATTGTAATTGTTAGAGCAAAGAATATTAGCATACAGTATCTTTTAAAGTGGAAATATATATACATAAGCTTATTTCTAATATATATACATAAGCTTATTTCTAAGAATCCACACATATAACAGCCTACTTTAAATATTCAATTTCAAATATACTAAAATTTTATTCTGTTCAGGACATTCAAGTTCCATCAATGCCAAAAGCACTTCCTTGTGGTGAATTTTCTTTTTAAGAAAAAATAGTTAAGACAGCTGATCTCTTCTGTGCATATCTGTATACAAAACATGTACAGTCAGAAGCATTTGGATATCTGGGCATAGACTGTACTATTAATCTGTAGTTCATACAGTGAATTTATTATTACAAAAGGAATGATGTACTTTCATGCTGTAAGGATGCAGCTGTGACACAGAGAGCCATAACCACTAGATAACTGTAGACTTTCATTTCTCTAGCGTAAGTAACGTACTCCTAAATTCCCAGGTTTTTAATTAAAAGGAAGGAGATCATTCATTATAAAGTTCAGGAAGGTAGTTTTATGTGCAGATGACATACCTAGAGAAACATTTGTTTCCTCTGCCCAATCCAAGCAACGCCATCAACACAGACCATTTCTTTGTCACCTTCTTCACTGGGTGCAAGACTAAGTATAGTGATTTCTCTAGTTTGCACTGCTGAGCAGCTGGCACTTGTGTCGTGCCATTAACAACATAAGAGCTCCCTACCTGGAAGTCATTGTATCATGAACTTTAGAAGGGAAAACAGTGCTTTGCTTTGTGTTCATTGTCACATATACATGAGAGAGGAGCTTGGACAATTAAACTTTGCAGAGGAGACACACACAAGCCTAATACTGTAGGCTTCATTACTGCTGTCATAGGGCAAAACTGTTCTCCATGTCAGCTGCTAACAAGTTCTGCTGCAAGCCTTCAAGCGATGCATCATTAGTCTCCCTCTGCATCTTCCTATTTCCAAGCTGATGAGGCCCTAATTCATTGAGTCCTCAAGAGAGGGAGCCACTGGTGCAGAAAGAGACTAAATTCTGGTCCTTCCTTGGCAGTACCAATCTTGAGAGAGTACACTACTGGAGATAAAGGAAACAGAAACAGTCAAGGAATATAAACTATAAGTATCCTCATACTAGAATCTAAATTTTGGGTATTCTAAAATATGCAATGCATTTTTGCAGTTTGTCCAAAGTGAGAACTTGCAACAACCCTTTCTTAATATGGGTTACAACTTGTAAGTAATAATCAGCCTTATGCATGTACCTCCTCAGTAAGTCAGTACAAGACAGATTTCAAGTTCAAGCTGTTTTAATGACAGACACCCAAAACTGATGTTTCCAAGTACCTGTACTTTTACATCAATCTTCCAATTTTGTTGCTTAGGGGTAATAAAAGCTTATTCTTCATTATGCCTTTTTTGCACATATTTTAAATATCAACAGAATTTACATTAAAAACTATGTAAGTTACAGAGAGGTACTTACGTGGAATTCTGCACAGTTACTCACTGTATCTGATTTGGAGAATGCAAGTAAGTACAGTACCCAAGCTGTGAGTATGAGATTATTACTGCTGTCAATGAGAAGACTGCCATATTCTACAATTTATAAATCTTTCCTGTGAAGTCTATGTTGATACTGTGTTTGCTTCCTTCAACATTTTTGAGGGAACATTTACATGCAACCATCTTGGTATAAGATAACATATCAAAATCATACTCTATTCTACTTTTACTGGATAAGAAACATTCAGCTATAGGAGATATTGGGGAGAAATATCAAGATACCTGGAGGAATCTGGAGTATTCAAATTTGGAAGTCTCATCCCAAAGCAGCATTGCAATTATCACTGTACTTTGAGTTTCCACTGAAACACTATTAATGACAATAATATTGTGAGAAGGATATTATGTGTGTTTCATTAGAAATTCCATTTGTCTGCACTACAGAGATCATGGCAGTTTGTGTTAAAAATGTGCCTTAATCTCTTCATCACAACAAGGAGTCTCTCTTATATACTGTCACTTGTTTAAAATGGCCCTTTTCTGCTCGGCTTTTAGATACTCTGTGATATAAAATTGTTCCTCGTTTTCATTAAGTGCAAATATAATATTCTCTTTTGGTAAACTATTACTATGATTGAAACAATTTTTTTTAATCAGTTGGCGCATTTGATTTACCAAAGATTGTGTGCTTAGAATTACTTTACATTTTAATTAGATCTGTAGCAATTTGTTAGCTAGCACTGAACTCTGACAAACACGAGTCTCTAGGCATGTTTGGAAAAGCTCATGAACTCTCTGCCATTTGCCTAATGAACTATCGGAAAGGTTCCATCAATAGCGTCAAAAAATTTGTTTAAGGACCCTCCAGACGTGCTCAAGAAGCTTGAATGAAAGAGAGCTCATACAAGATGAATGCCACTGGGCTAAATATTTCTGGAATGGTCCTTTGCTGCTGACAGAAGAAAAATTAAAGGTCGGATTGAATGCGTGCTATTGAGGGAGTGTTTTTGAAGCGCGGATTGTAAAACATAACTATTAATAGCTTCAACATTAGCTAGAGAAAAAGACACTATGCAGGTATATATATCTAACTATCATTTTCCCAGCCATAATGCAAAGATCTGTTTTTTTCTACTCCTAGCTGTATTCTAACTGCCAACTGCCTTGTTAATTCACATGTAAAAATCAGATGAGGGAGGAGTGTCTCAGGACTCTGGGAAGTGTCATATGAACTGAGACAGAACTTCCAGATGGAAAAAAATAGAAGGGTTGCAAAGATGCAGAAAATTAACATTGTTCTTTGCTGTGGAAAGCAATTAGAAACCTCAGCTAAGATCTGTGCCACCCTAAAAAAAGCAACAGTCACCTAACTGAACTTTGCACAGCAAAGTTTCATCTCCATACTAGAAAGGAAGATTCCAGCATGAAAAATTGGTGGTCATTTTCTTCAGAACATGCAAGTCAAGTAAAAGCTGTTGTTCCCACATTCTTAGTCAGAAGCACAGAAACGATTGAATTTTGTCAAGTCATGAGAGAAAAAATCATGAAAGATAAAGTGAGAAATCTTAGGTTTCAAGACATGATGGGATGAACTCCTGCATCCAGAAGCAATTCAGAGTTCTATTCTAATCTTCCATCACTTAGACTGCTCCCTCTGTATTAAAACACAAACCTGTTTTGCACACCTCCTACCCTAATGAGACCTCACTGCACAGGAACATCTATTTTAGAGAAACATCACGACTAACTCTTAACATCTCTTAACATCATACATCAACATAGTATGTGATCAGTGGTCTGTCCAGGCCCTAACTGCTGGCATTGACTTTCAAGGATGGCAATACCCTCTACCTGTGTTCTATTTTAAAACAAGAGCAATTGCTTCTCATAAAAACTAAAATCATCTTTAATTTTTCTGACAGCATTAACAATCACTCCTTTTTAAGACTTCCTATGCAAGTGCAAACCAACAAATAATTGTGGATTCTGAAAACATGCTCCACTAGGCGTTAAACTATCCTACCTTTGCAGCTCTGTAACTGGGTGACTCGTCAGCATGTTCTTTCAGTGTTGAACTCAGTGATGTTGCTTAGTTCAGCAAATATTTTATTTTCCACCAATGTCAGAAAAAAGGAATGCATGACAAGTTCAAAAGATTTTTGGCATAAATGGCTTTTTTTCCCCTTCAGTTCTTTCCTAATATTTTTTCAAACATTCTATTTAATCGGGAGACAAAGTCTTATTGCTCCCAACTAATAAATCTGCATTTATTTTTCTGAAGATTGCTTTTCAGGTTTTCACACTTTTTCTGGCTGTGTCTGTCAACTAGTTTCTGTGAATGCTAAGAGAATTTGAAACTAGCGTTTTCAATGTTTGTATCATCCTCCACTTAAGGGATTTCCTACATTCACAGAGAACGGAGGGGTACAAAAAGGATAAAATTTCTTTAGGTACAGCAGTGGAGAAGGGCTGATAACTTGCACAACATGGAAATAGCTGCATCTTCTCTGCACATCTCTCCCTTCTGCCACACCAGTCTCAAAAGCTCTTCCCACATCGCTCTTATGTAATGCATGGCTTTCCTTACTGACATGTTTTATTAGTACTCTTTGGAGAACGACAGGGACAGCATTAGGGACTCAGATTGAGATGCATTTGTTCCATCTACCAGATAAAATTCTCCTTTACTATACAAAGGCTTTATTAGCAGCTCATGTGTATAAGACATGAGAGATAACTTCAGCACGTGCCACAGAAAACAAATACTCAGGTTCCGAGAGAAATCAAAAGTCCTCTCTAGGTGAATTTAAGAAACAGGTTGGACAGTACACAGAAGATCCAGAACTGGACTTCATGAATGCTGCCAGGGCCTCATCTGAGGACTTGCCTTACACATTCTTTGTATTTGGGATCACAGGCTTTCCTGAAGCTGCTTCATACCAGACCAAGAAGAAGCACAGCAGCATATGTTCTTTGCTTCTATACCCTTATAGGCATGAAGGAAAGTTAAAACTTAGATCTGCAAACATTAAATAAAGTTACAATTTGAAGTAGTAAGAGACTAATTTCTCAACCTTTATTTGCTATTCAGCCTGACATCCTGAAATCAATTAAGGCAGTATCATTTTACTATTTTTATGAATAAAAAAATGAAAAAATAAACTACTCAGTTCTCCTTTGAATGCCTTGGAAAGAATCCTTTTTAGATTCTCAT